CAAGATCACATGCTTTTAAGCTTTTAAATATCTTTGCCTTACACAGAAAGTCATCTTTATTATACCTCGATATAAATCGCACTATAATTGGTTTAGGTTTTTTGGATTCCTTGGTAGATGGTGCAACGCGGGTTATAAAATCAATATCCGATTTGGTAAAAGAAAAATTAACGTGCTTCGATATATTCTCAATAATTTCGAAAAGATTTTCGTTCTTCTTCTCGGGAATGCCACAAATTTCAATATTGGAACGCCGTGCCCATTGGTCTCTAACATTATTTTCATGCTCCAACTTTTCCAGTGAAGATTTTAGTATACCTATGTCATTACACATACTATTTACCGACGTTAGGCTTTTATCATATATTTCAAATTTTTCTTTCATCTCATCATACTTATTATTAATGAAAGTTAAGGACATTTTTATTTCCTGTACCTCTTCCTTAATGATTTTAAGCTCGGAGTTTATAAAGTTCTTAAAACTAAATTCAAGATCTCTTTTTAGCCCTGAAATCTCTTGCCTTATAAAACCCCGTAGGTCGCAAGAAGAGTCAGCAGATTTTTCTATCCCTGACACTGGCGAAGTAGTGGGGGACTTATTCTTCGAATGTTTATTTCGCAATGTAACATTAAGACTGTCGGTGTCGCATTGCTTATGCGCTGGAATGCGGACAGGTGTACTATCCCTTTTAACTTTTTTAGGTTGCTTTGACAAACACGCTGGGCAGGTCCAATCTGACCCATTGCTAAGTGTTGGGTCTTTTTTGGATGATGCAGACACACATTGCAGATGGTAGTAGCCACTACAACTAATACATATTATAGGCACATCAGTATTTGCTACAGCAACACGACAGCAAGCATACAACAAAGCCATTTTGATTGACTATTTAAATTTTAATTTTAATTTTTTATAAGCAATAAGCAAAAATTGCACTGGAAACCCCTTACGTTCTGCCCGAGAGTCCAATATCGGTGACAGTGATCGTTGACCTCGTCAATGACACATAGCGGTCGCACAAATAAACAAAATAAACAAGCGCTTAAACACTAACACAAATTTTAGCAATGTTTATGTGTAACTCACAGTTAATATAACACTATTAAATTTATTATGACAGTAGCAATGTCCACATTAGAAATCTATACAACTAAATAGTAAAAGTACACTTATGTCGGCAAAAACACAGACTAAACTGAGAGCAAATATTATAATACGTGGTGCTCGCTTAGGCGTCGCAACTGAACTGAAGTCAATCTCATTTTTTGTCGAACCGTCGGGGCTCGACCAGGTCCACTTCCTGTGGGGCCGCTTCTGGAAGAAAGAGTTCATCATAAAGAGTCCCTCTTTCTCCATAAAGTCGGCCAGCTGCTGGCCCCTTCGGTTCCGTTGCCCTACTCCAAATTTCCCTACCTTCAGCTCACCGCTTTCTCTTGTGCCTAGTTTTGCGTTGAAGTCTCCCATCAACACCGTGTAGTGGGTTTTGGAGGAATGTATGGCTCTGGAAATATCCTCATACATTTCCTCCACCTCCTCATCGGGATGTGCCGAGGTTGGTGCGTAAACCTGAATGACCTTCAGCGAATACCGTTTGGTGATTCTGAGTATCAGGTACGCGACCCTCGTCGACACACTCCCAATCTTTACAACGTTGTTGACGAGAGACTTGTGGACGATAAATCCGACACCTCCTTGGGACAGATGGTCGCCCTCCCGGTGATAGAACAAGTTGCCGGACTCGAGGATTGCCGTGTCCTCCCCCCTCTCTTCGGACCTCGGATAATCCAATAATATGCCAGCGCAACTTGTCTACCTCTTCTTCCAGCTCTAGTATCTTCTCGTCAGTCCTCAGGGTGCGTGCGTTATATGTTGCCAGGTCGAGTCGTCGTAGGTGGCAACCGAACCTCCACCGGAGATTCTTAGCACCCCCTGCCCCGCCGTTACCATGGTCGCCACCGTAGCCAGGAATAGCGGGGCCGCCGGGGACTGGGGGCCGTCTGTTTGTGTATTTATTCATTGGGGGGTATTTGCCATAGTTGCCACGCTTGGCGAGCGGGTTGGCAACCGCAGTTTTTTATTACGTCACTGTTGTTATCAGGAAGATGCTGCTGCCCATCTCCTGCCTGTCTCCCTCTGTCGCCTTTTACGATACCCACGGGAAGATATGGGGTAGTGGATATTCTCAACCGCCACTACACGGCATTTCCTTCCACAATAGGTAGCCAGATGTAAGGCAGTGTCTTAGTAATACTGCATATTCTACGGGCATGTTGTTTTCTTCCAGCCTTCTAGTTACACAATTGAGATGCAGTCTTCAACAGGTGAGCATGTAAACATTGACTGCACATCAAAACTGTCAAATCAAAACAAATTCAATGTCTGCCAGATGTAGCTCTTTAATCTCGTTGACAAAATGGTAGGAATCCTGATAACACCTTGAGCCATACTGTGTATAGAAAAAAGACCCATACAGATAGATATTTAAACGGTGATTCTCACCACCATCCTTCACAGTTAGCTACCGTGGGTAAATCTTTGTTTCAGAGAGCACGAGGGATCTGTGACAGTAAACACCTGGCTGCCGAGCTCCACCACGTCAAGCAAGTTTTGTATGACAACAAGATTCGATTCCCGCGCCTACCTCACAGTGAACGAGTGAAGCCGGCCACAGTCGAGCGTGTACCTTGTAGTGTTATGCTATTTACATATCATTTTACACAATTTTAAATTTATTTTTCCATTCTGTTTTTGATTTTCTGCATTCACCTCAAAACTGGATATTTTGCATCACCTTTACTTTCATAGGATTCTGTAACGTTTTTAAACCATAAGAACACAATAACAAATCATTTTCACTTCGTATTTTCACGCTATCAGCACTTTTTAAATCGGTGTCGATGGAGTTTACCTTTTTCGATCTTTTATTTAGTTCTCCGTAACTCTGCAATTTCGGGCTTCGTGCGCGCTGTTGCGCTACTTTTTTCCTATATCAATAATATCTCATTTTTCACTTAAATCTTGCCGTTTCTCTATTACGAACCTGAAACCAAAATTTGACATGTTTTGACATCGTTGTTTATCTGGTTGTCATGGCAATTTTTATTCAAATTCTTTACCGGTCTGATGTTTTTACTTCAAAACTTCCACAAAAATACTCTTTTCTTCTTGGCCATTTACAAAAATTTGTTTTTAATTTAAACAATTTCCCGTTCTTATCTCAGATCCGTCGTCGAGCGCGGAGCTCTCTAATAAAAGTATAAAAGCCGAACAATCGGCCAATAAAGTGAGTCTCGCTTCAGCTTTCAAACTAGAAGCATCTCCTAAAGGCCTTATCCCGGGGCCGCACTGCCCCGGGATCCTGCAAGCCTCTGCCTTCACCTGAAGTCGTGGCCTAGCCACGCCTACGCCTCCACCACTAGTGCCCGCGCTATCTTTAGCCGCTGTGCGTGCTTGCTCTAGGTGCTGTGAGCTCCTACTTCAGGCGCTGAGAGCATCTACCAAGGCGCTGTGTGTGCCTGCTCCAGACGCTGCGTGTACCTACTCCAGGCACTGCGTGTACCTACTCCAGGCGCTGCGTGTGCCTACTCCGGGCGCTGCGTGTGCCTACTCCAAGCGCTGAGAGTGACTTCTCCAGACGCTGCGTGTGCCTAGATCAGGCGCTGCGCACCTACCACAGGCACAGCCTGTGCATACTCCGTGAGCGGTGAGCACCACTGCCAAGAGCTGTGTTCCACTTTGGTCTTCGGGCTCCGTTTCAGTACTCATTTATCTTTATTATTTTTTTTTAAAAAATAATTGTAATTCAACACCCATCATCATCTTCATACTTTTTTTTATATAAAACTGTAAATATCTTTTAATATTTTAAATAAATTATTCGTTTTTGTTTTATTTTTGTTGTTTCGTTGTTGTTAGGTTAGGTTCTTTAGTTTTTAATTGTCGCTTTACGACAACCTGCTGTACTGCCATATGTAAGAGACATCGTCTCTCCGCAAGATGCAGGAGTGTACAAGCTTGATTGTGAATGTGGTCTCTCCTACATAGGACAAACTAAAAGATCCAAAGTCAACAAGAAAGTGTAGTAGTTAGTTTTAGTTAGTTAAGAATTTTTAGACTACTCTAATAAAAGACCTTAAAGAACATATAGCTGATGTGCAGTATCGACACTCCGGGAAGTCTGCAGTCTGTGAACACGTACAGGATCGCCCCCGTCACTACATCAGATTTGATAGACCACAAATCCTCGCTAAAGAACACCAATTCCTTCAAAGGATGATTTGCGAGGCTATTGAAATCAAAAAATATCCTAATTTCAATAGAGAAGATGGCTGGGTGCTACAATCTGCTTGGGATCCTATAATAAATAAAATTATATGCCAACTTGGGTTGTATGCTTGGGCATACAACTGCAAGACTTCAAGATACCATAAGTTAATACTGTGTAGATAGGAACAAAAGTTAAATTTTAATCTATGGTAACCGCGGTTAACTATGACATCTGGACGGTGAACATCTCAGTCCCCCCAACCCCCGTGACCTTGGGTGTTGTAAAGCGCTCGAAACGTTATGTATTTATAGTTAAATATATGTGATAAAATCCGTAAAAAGTAGTATTATTTAAAAGGTATGAAGTAGTATTTATTTTTCATCTTAAATTCTATACTAATGACCGTATTCCTTAAATCAATCAATATTATATATATTAACGGTCTTATCGTCAACATCATCGTCATCGTCATCGTCAATGTCATTGTCATCTACATTATCGTCATCGTCATAGTCATCAACATCGTCATGGTCACCGTCATCGCCACCCTCATCGTCACCGTTATCATCATCATCGTCATCATCATCATCATCGTCATCTTCATCATCATCGTCATCATCATCATAATCGTCATCGCCATCGTCATCATCATCGTCATTATTGTCAACGTCATGGTCATCAACATCGTCATGGTCACCGTCATCGCCATCGTCATCGTCATCGTCATCAATATCATCGTATATCATCGTAGTCATTATCGTCATCGTCATTATAGTCATCGTCATGGTCATCGACATCGTCATTGTCATCGTCGTCATCATCGTCATTGTCATCGTCGTCATCATCATCATTGCCATCATCATCATCATCATCATCGTCAACGTCATTATCATAGTCATCGTCATCATCATCGTCATCCTCATCACCATCGTCATCGTCATCGTATTCATAATCATCATCGTCATCATCATCATCATTGTCATCGTCATCATCATCATCATCGTCATCAGAATTATCGTCATCGTCATGGTCATCAACATCGTCATTGTCATCGTAGTCATTAACGTCATCGTAATCGCCGTCGTCATCGTCATCATTGTCATCTTCATCGTCATCATCATCTTCATTGTCATCATAATCATCGTCGTCACCGTCATCATCAATATCATCGTCATCGTTTTCGTCATTATCGTCATCGTCATCGTCGTCGTCATTGTAATCGTCATCGTCATTGTAATCGTCATCGTCATTATCGTCATCGTCATGGTCTTTAACATCATCATGGTCACCGTCATCGTCATCGCCATCGTCATCGTCATAATTGTCATCTTCATCGTCATCATCATCGTCATCGTCATCATCATCAAATCGTCGTCACCGTCATCAGCAATGTCATCGTCATCGTTTTCGTCATTATCGTCATCGTCATCGTCGCCGTCATTGTAATCGTCATCGACATTATCGTCATCGTCATGGTCTTTAACATCATCATGGTCACCGTCATCGTCATCGCCATCGTCATCGTCATAATTGTCATCTTCTTCGTCATCATCATCGTCATCGTCATCATCATCATCGTCGTCACCGTCATCAGCAATGTCATCGTCATCGTTTTCGTCATTATCGTCATCGTCATCGTCGCCGTCATTGTAATCGTCATCGTCATTATCGTCATTGTCATGGTCTTTAACATCATCATGGTCACCGTCATCGTCATCGTCATTATAATCATCATCGTCATCATCATCGTCATAATCATTGTCATCGTCATCGTCATCGTCATCTTCATCGTCATCATCATCATCATCATCATCGTCATCGCCATAGTCATCATCGTCATTATTGTAATCGTACATGGTCATCAACATCGTCATGGTCGCCGTCATCGCTATCGTCATCGTCATCGTATTCATAATCATCATCGTCATCATCATCGTCATTGTCATCGTCATCATCATCGTCGTCGTCATAATCGTCGTCATCGTCATAATCATCTTCATCGTCATCATCATCGTCATCGTCATCGTCAATGTCATTGTCATCTACATTATCGTCATCGTCATAGTCATCAACCTCATCATGGTCACCGTTATCGCCACCCTCATCGTCACCGTTATCATCATCATCATCATCATCGTCATCATCATCATCATCATGTCATCTTCATCATCTTCATCATCATCGTCATCATCATCATAATCGTCATCGCCATCGTCATCATCATCATCGTCATTATTGTCAACGTCATGGTCATCAACATCGTCATGGTCACCGTCATCGCCATCGTCATCGTCATCATAATCATCATCGTCATCATCATCGTCATCATCATCGTCATCGTCATTATCGTCATCGTCATTATCGTCATCGTCATGGTCATCGACATCGTCATTGTCATCGTCGTCATCATCGTCATTGTCATCGTCGTCATCATCATCATTGCCATCATCATCAACATCGTCAACGTCATCATCATCGTCATCGTCGTCATCATCGTCATCCTCATCAACAGCGTCATCGTCATGGTCATCAACATCGTCATTGTCAACGTCATCGTTGTCATCGATATCGTCATCGCCATGGTTATTGTCATCATCATCGTCGTGATCATCGTCATATTCATCGTCGTCATCATCGTCATCGTCATCATCATCATCATTGTCATCGCCATCGTCATTGTCATTGTCATCGTCATCGTCATCGTCATCGTCATCATCATCGTAATCATCATCATCGTCATCATCACCGTTATCGTCGTCGTCATTATCATAGTAATCGTCATCATCATCTTCATCGTCATCGTCATCATTATCGTCATCGCCATCTTCATCATTATCGTCATTGTCAACGTCATCGTCGTCATCGTCATCGCCATCGCCGTCATCGTCATCGTCGTTATTATCGTCATCTTCATGGTCATCAACATCGTCATGGTCACCCTCATCGCCATCGTCATCACCATCATCATCGTCATTGCCATCGTCATCATCATCGTCATTGTCAACGTCATCGTCGTCATCGTCATCATCATCATCATCATCGTCATCGTCATAATCATTATTATCATCATCGTCATCGCCATCGTCATCATCGTCGTCATCGTCATCGTCGTCATCGCCATGGTTATCGTCATCGTCATCATAGTCATCATCGTCATTATCATCGTCATCGTCGTCATCATCGTCATTGTCATCGTCGTCATCATCGTCATCGTCATCGTCACCATCATCGTCATCGCCATCGTCATTGTCATCGTCATCGTCATCATCATCGTCATCGTCATTTCCCCACATCACATCATCTTTCCGCTCCGCGCTCTTCTGCAATCCGGACGTGTGTCAGTCAGTGTATTCGTGTTTGCTCCGATCGCCTAGTGACTCATCGTGTACATACGATTACGAATAGTGTTGGCACACTTCGGCTACTTATTGCACAGAGCAATATATATACAGAGAAAGCAATCACTATTACTAACTTATTGTCATGTCTCTTAATAACACTCACACCAAACAAAACAGCCCTACCCGGTATTCTAATAGATCTCCTTGTGGTGAAATGAGCATAGACAGTTCTCTGATAGAAAAAGAAACTCCGCCTGACTTCGTGACGTTCCGTTAAGGTGTAGCTGATCAAAATGTGTTGGATCTACGCAATGAATTTCATTCTTTCCAAGAAAAATCAAGGCATCAATGAAAGAGTTCTTCGACAAAAAGAATAATAAAATAACAAAGTTCATTGAAGATTTCGAAGAATTGAAGACTTCAATGACAAATACGACGAACTAAAAACCCAAACCGAAGAGATCCGCAGTCGATTATTTGAATTAGAAAAAATATATAAATCGTCCCAAAACAAAGACGATCTGATTATGGAGGTAGGAAACAAGCTTGATATTTTAGAGCTTAATTCACCCCAGTGCAACATTGAAATTGTTAATCTTTTAGAAAAACGAAATGAAAATTTAATTTCGATTATAGAAAACGTAGCTGCTGTCATCAAACAACCTTAATAATACCTACCTAAAATTAATAAATACGACGTCGTCGCAATTCATCGTGTACCTCAGTTTAATCCTAAAAGTGGGCGCCCTAAGAATGTTGAAAAGTTTAAAAACAGAAAAACTGCAAATGCCCGGAACTATACACAAGTTATATTTTAATGAGCACCTGACTTTAAAAAGAAAAATTTTATCGTGAGGTTCGGGAAACTGCTAAGAAGAATGGTTTCAGATACACTTGGATTAAGCACGGCAGCATCTTGGTGCGTGCAAACGATACTTCTCCTGTTCTCAGCATTCGTTCTAGTGAAGATCTTTCAAAAATCAAATCGAAGAATTATCCAGTTAACTAATTTTTACTGCTACTTGTACACAGCTGAAACTAGTATTTCATTTCCATTTGCATTGACTTGTTATCTCGAAGAAGTTATTCAAAGGTATTTATCAAAAAGTATTATATTATTTAGTGTCATCTCTAAACATTTCATTACACTGTGTTGTTTACACTTCTTTGCCTTGCGCTATGAATTATTATTTTTCTACCGGCAATTTGTTTGTTACTCAAAGAATTTACTTACGATATTTTACAAACAATATTCTATTTTAAAAATACTTTGTTGTCAAATTAACAGCAATAATTATAATACACGTATGTATGTTGTAAAGCGTATTAAGCTTATTTGCAAGTTACACTGTCTAACATACCTAACGAGCGTTATTAATTTATTATTTTTGTTTGTTGAACACACTTTAATACTATTAAGCAATATTTGTTATTTTCGCTTACTTATAATGAAAACTAAAATTATTTCTTTTACTGGAATTTACATAATACATGATGAGATTTACAAATACGAAACACAAAATTATGAAATAATATTACATTGCGTAATAAATATAACTGTTAATTTACTTCTAATAATGTATTTGCTCACTTTGATTGGAAATAACTGTGCAAATTTTTGTAATTTAACAGTTATTATACACAATCGGTCAATTTTTCTTGTCAAATTGGAAAAGAATAGAATGCATTAGTCTCAGTATGTCTGTTACTTTATTTATACTCGTATTTTTTCTCCTTTTTTTATTTTTGTTTCTTTCTCTTTTTAATAGGTGTAAGTAATACTTATGTATTAAAAATAAACAAAGATGATGACTGATCGTTTTACAATATATTACCAAAACTGCAGGGGCTTAAGAACCAAACTAAATACTCTGTATACAAATATATTATCAGATAGTTATGATTTTATTATATTAAGTGAAACGTGGTTACTTCCGAATATTCGAGACAGGGAATTCATAGATGATAGATATGTAGTACATCGTTGCGACCGAGACAGAGTCTTGACAGGTAAACGGGACGGCGGTGGAGTTTTGATTGCAGTGCGTCGAGGGTTGCCCATTGCTCGGTACGAACTAATAGGTTCACACGACTATCCTATTTCACCTTGTATTGATTATGTATTTCTCAGTCTTAATAGTCAAAAGGGTCATAGTACTATTATCTGCGGTATCTATATTCCGCCTAATTTGAACGCTTTAACTTATGAAATTTTTTTAACATCCTTGTAACAAAATTATGGAAATTAACTATCAGCACGTGTACGTTGTTGGTGATTTCAATCTTCCCAATCTACAATGGCTGGGCAGTGATCAAACGGTATCAAATATAACATCTACATCTTCTTACCCCAACCTTACCAGTAATGACAAATCACTGCTTAATTTTATATCATCAACTTCAAACAATTAAACCCCAATAGAAACCCCTTGGGCCGAATTTTAGACTTGTTTTTATCTAACGACGATAATTGTGTTTGTGAGCTGCCTTCAAACCCGTTACTGCCATTGGATCGTCTACATCCAGCTTTCTACAAGGTTATATCTCTAAGCCACACGTATAAATCTATGGCTCACTCGTCTATTCAGAGGTTCAAAAATTTAGAATCAAACTATATCACCATTTGTAAATCAATCTTTGAGATCAATTGGTATTCTCTTATGAAAGGGCTAACTGCTGAAGCGTCAGTTAATATATTTTATGAAAAAATCTATGAAATTATGAAAATATATGTACCATGTCGTTCATCAAAAAGTAATAACTTTCCAGTTTGGTTTTCTCGACCCCTCATTCACGTTTTTAAAGAAAAAGAAAAAATATTGGATAAGGTGGAAAAAATATAATAACAAAGCGGATTATTCCCAGTTTTCATTGCTTCGACACAGATTTAAGACACTGTGTGCTGATTGCTTCAATACTTACATTAATTCCATCGAAGAAGGACTTAAAAAGGACATTAAATTATTTTGGTCCTTTGTTAATAATCGAAAAGGTAAAAGCGGAATACCTAACGTAATGACTTATAAAAATAAAAAAATCTGATACACCAGAGGGTATCTGTGAATTATTTTCTGAATTTTTCAGCTCCGTATATGAAAATAGACAGCAGTTACAGCAAGAGAATTATAGTAGCCAGCCTACTAATCCCAATTCTGAGGTTATTTCAAATATCTCCTTTTCGGAGGATAGCATAGTCAAAGAGCTTATATTACTCGATATTACCAAGGGACCTGGACCTGACAGCCTTCCACCATTTTTTCTCAAACACTCTGCCGCAGCTATTAGTGTTCCCTTGTGTCTTATATTTAACCAATGTCTTAGTGAAGAGACTGTGTCCCAGATATGGAAGAACGCTAATATAACACCAGTTTATAAGAGTGGGTACAAAAACGACGTTTCTAACTACCGCCCTATATCTTTGCTATCAACCATACCGAATGTTCTTGAGAGGTTAATACATAAGCAAATTTATCCTATATTACATAACATAATTATACCTGAACAACATGGATTTGTAAAACAGCGATCAACAACAACTAACCTTGTTCTTTACACAAATTATCTTTTTCGCTGCATGGATAACCGTCTGCAAGTAGATGCAATTTACACTGATTACTCTAAGGCCTTTGATAAGGTTGATCATAATATACTTTTAGAGAAATTAGCGTTTAATGGAATACGAGGAAACTTGTTAAAATGGTTTTCATCATACGTTCTAAACAGATCTCAACGGGTTGTGATTAATGGTTTCTCATCCAATATCATAAATATCAGCTCAGGCGTACCGCAAGGTTCTATTCTTGGGCCTTTGCTTTTTATATTATTTGTGAACGATATCGGTGATTGTTTCCGTTTTACTAACTTTCTCCTTTACGCCGATGACCTTAAAATTTATCTTAGGCTGTCCTATCCCATGGTGCACCAACATTGTACAATTTCGATGCTCCTCTACTACGTGTCTGAGGTCCCCTCACAGCCGCACAACTTGTACGTGTACGACACCAATCCTTGACATCGTCACGATAATGGACCCAGTAAAACTGTTCTCGGACCTTCAGTAGAGTTCGTTTAACTCCCAGATGGGCTCTTGAACGACCATTATGGCACAGCTGTAGAACATCCGGTGCTTTAGGGACAACCATTTGCAAATGATAGCTGTCTCCTCGACTATTGTCCCATTTACGGCACAGGACTCCATCCTGAATCAGCAAGCTGTACCCATTGGGCCCAATAGCTTTTCGTGGTTGGACTCATCGCTGAGACGTCGCTCCACTTAGGCTTGGTAGCACGGGCCTTCATCCATTCCGGAATCGGCTTGATGTCCGGATCTTCCTGCTGTGCATGTCGTAGGCTGTCCTTCCAATCGTTGCTGAGTTGGTCTGTCCTGAGCATTCTCACGGATACCACTTCCTTACTCTCTTGCCTAGTACAATGTTTCCAATCTGAGCTGAGATACTATAATTATCCTTTTTTTTTTTTTTCAGGACAAGGTCTTCTTGACAATGCATCTGCGTTGCCCTGAGATTTCCCACCGCGATGTCTGATAGTAAAGTCGTATCCCGGCTGCTGCTGGGCGGTGATGTTAGCCGCACTTCCCTTCTGAGATCGTTCACCTTCCCTTTCTATGGTTCGCTTAGGGCAGCTGGATCGACGATGGCCCCTTTCCCTACAGCCATAGCACCTAGGGCTGTATCCTTTGTTGCGGTCGTGAACTGTAGCTGCTGCAAACTCCCTGACGCGATGGGAACGATGATCCTGCCGCACGGCTTCCACCTCCAGTGCATGGGCAAAGGCGTCTGTACTGGCTTGCTTTCCTTACTTTTTTATTGCATCCTTCTTTCCAATTAACCGCAAAACAAACTTATGGCGCCATCTGTTGGCCCACAACAAAAGCGTCTGTAAAAGAAGTCGACGCGATCGATACGGAGATGTAATCGAGACTCAAGACGAAC